AACATTTCAGGATGCTCCCCTTCCCCTCTAATTCCTTGTGCAGAAGAGAATGTGAAGGTCTAGGAACCTGTGAGGAACTGGCCCCACAGATCTTTCGTTAAGGAAGTTCTTTGCTGGTCTCCCAAAATCACAGACATGCAAATTGTAGCTTTCAGTCTGCAGGCTATGTCTAGCTCCTAAAACCTGATGGCTGTCCCAATTTCACACTAATAATGAATTAGAAGTTTATCTTTACAGGCACAGAACAGAGACAAGTCAGAATCAGACATTCTTACCCCAACCCAGTGACATCTGCATAATTGATGCTCCTTTCATTCCTTTTCCTCTTCTAATATTGGTCTTCTTCTTAGGTAAACGTCAGATTTTTCTGAGTCGTATAAAAATGTAACCATTTGCTCTCTCCTTTCTTGTTTCTTTTTGGGTGCTTTCAAATGCTGAGACTTCCAAATTCCCCTTAAGAAAAATACCCACAAATTTGTCTGTGGTTTGTATTTTTCCCAGGCATGTCCTCAATTTTGGCTTAACCTCTATTAACAGAGGCTTTTGCTTCTATTAATAGAGACTTTTGCTTTAGTCACTTATTTGGGTTGACAAGTCTCAGAAACTTGTAATAGTCTGAATAGCATCGCCCTTGAGTAGAGCTTTTTAATCTTAACCAAACTGTGTGATTGTCACAATAAAAGGATCACTGCTCATAGAATACATAACTTTTCACAAAATGGGTATGAAAGATGTTTAGTTATAGATAAGGCAAAAGAAAAAAAATAATTTTCTATTATGAAAAGTAAAAGCATAAATTCTTCTCTTTATAGTATTCTACTGGTGGTTGTCCCTAATTTTCACTCAATAATTCACTCTGGATTATTTTCAAATTGTTATAGAGATCAAATGACATTTAAAAATTCTAATTTGTAAAAAAATTCTTTTAGTTTCTTAGTATTGGCCAAATGTGGTCTAATGGCAACTACTATTGGTTTCTACAAGATTTTTCACCATTTTCCCTCTGGCCAATTAAGAACATTTACCATGACCTGAATTTTCCCGACAAGGGATTTATATTTATGCAGGGATATTGTGAAATCTCTTCCTTAGTCAGCTTTCAAATAAGGGTTTTCCATCGTGATTGTTGCTGAAATGTTTGTGTGTCTGTATGCAGGATTATCCACTCATGCTGGGGTGGGGCCCAGGCTGCCGTTTGCGGAAGCATGAACAGGCCAAATTACTTCGAAGTCTGGCTCCTCAATTTAAGTTTTGGTGATTATATAAGTAGATCGTTTTGTTGTCATTTATGTACTCAGTTCCCTTTTGTGCAGTAAAAAAGCTTAAATGTGTCCCTGCTTGTATGGATTACAAATTCAAATGTCACTGTATGGAAAAGAACCACAAATGTGTCTCTGCAGTAATCAAAACCATGGCATGGAAGGAAAGAAATAGATAAAATGACTTTAGTTTGGGAGCCCAAGAGAAGAAAGAATTTGCTGACAGCATAGTTGCTATAGCGCTTGAGTAAACTATCCAAATAATGAAATTCTAATCCTTAGCATCGCCTAAAACAGTGGTGAATCTTTCTGGATAAAGGTCAAGACACAAAATCTATTCTAGCTCAAGTAGGCTAGGATTCCAGAAGCAATTATTAGCAATATTTGTGAAAACACTGAACATCACTGCCTATTATACATATGCATTTTTGGAGGGGATTTAATTTAAATTTCAAAATATTTCTCTGTTTTTTATCATGAAGTCCAAATTTGAGAAGCTCTTAATTATCTACTTCTACTGCATCTCAGGAAAGGACCGTTCATTTTAGGTTAATGAAATCATTCCAAATTGAAGGTGATTGCACGGATGATACCTAACTTTTTTTTTTCACAATCTACAGAGTATATGCACTTTTCAAACAGCCCTGTAGCTTATTCTGATGTCCTTTAATCCATACAGGGGAACTGTGCTGCGGTGAAAATTTACAAGCTGGGTATCTTTTCTGTTGTGTCTTGTTTAAAGAAGGAGTCCTTCATAGTAACCAAGAAAGGCCTCACTTTTAAGTCGAATGTGGATTCCAGAATATCCTTAAATTATTCTCCAGGAGTTTTCAGCTCACCAGTGCTTATACAATTAAAGGTAAATATTAAAAATTAGTGACTTCCTTCTCAGAAATTTTGTGGGTCTTCAAGCATGGTCCTAAAGGATAAAAAGGATGCCAGTATTTAATATAGCAATAAATGGATTCTCCTGTTGCATTTGTAAGGACCTAGCATACTGTGGTGTCAGTGAGACTCTGATGATATTAAGCATAGTAAGTCTCACTCCAAAATAAACTCCCACTTTATAAAGTTTTTCCTGATGAATCTTTTATGTTGTTTTGTTTATATTTAAAAAAATATGTTGAGTACATATGAATGAATTAATAACAGACACCCATATAACTGCAATTTCCATCTAAGAGGATGGCAAAAAAAGGATAATCAATTAAAATATTTATTATTATGAATACTTGGTTATAATTAATTAGGAAACATTGGCTCTTTCGGGAACAAGGATTTAATAGATACAAACACTATTTGAAAAGTTGTAGTGTGTCAACATACATTTTAGAAGATTTATTTCCTCAAATAATATTCCCTATTTTTCTAGCCTTACTCCTCTCCCATGTCAGTTGTTACCATGAATGGTATGTGAAAAGAAAAATTAGGAAGAAAACATATAACAGTTGAAATGTTGGGATCATGTCAGCTATTTTTATTATTAACCATTCTTATGTGAAAGAAAACAAGTAAATACACTCTTGTTTTACTATTTCTAAAGATATTTACATCTAACATTACTTGTGATTAGAAATTACATCAAATATCTATTTAATTTTTTAGGTGATTTTGGTAGCTACACTTAAGAAAGTTTCTCAGTTATTTTTAATATTTCAGGGAACCCAGATTTCAGGAAGATGTTAAAAGGGACTCACATGCTGTGTCTTTTATAAATTGTATGCGTTTTATAAGATGCAGTGTTGATTTTAGCTAAAAATGTAGAGGTAAATCAACACTCTATAAAATTTTCAGAAAATTGGATTAGAACTGTACTGATATTTTGCATCTTCTCCTATTAAAACATAAGCAAATATATTTTTTTCTTTATTTAGATCCAACCAGTTGACCCGTCTTTGGTGGCGTATTTGAAAGCACAGCAAGATACTTTCTACTCAGTGCTATCCACAAGTCCTCTGGTTCACGTTCAGCACCCATCAACTCATCCTTTTCAGAAGCCAGTCACTGTATTCCTACCTTGTTCTCCACATCCTGATAAAAAGAATCTTGGGTCTGAGATAGATCAGAAAAGAACCACTAGTACCACAACAAACAGGATCACACCTTCATATTTCAACTGGTGAGTGAGATCCTAACTGCAAAGTGACTTAACGGTACATGATTAAAATCACTATCCAATGTCTTGTATTTAATTATCAGTATTAAAATACAATGAAATATTTTAAATCTAGACTATTGTGTATCCATAAAAAGGAATGATTCTAGCTATAATGGGCTCAAAGGTGTGCTATGCGTTAGCAATAAGAATGATAGGAAAGAGGTAAAATTAATTCTTCCTTTCAAAGAACTTAAGATATGGTGAAATTACAAAAGTGTGTTATGGTGGTTTTAATTGCTACATTTAAAAGTGTTCTATGAATGTAGGAAAATGATGAACCTTACCTTTTATAAAACAAATTAAATTTGAATTTAATAGGTAGCTTCTGCCTCTCAACTTTTATGATTAAAAAAAATCCGCACCAATAAG